GATGCTAGATGTATGGACTCAATCAGGAAGGTCATGGGCTTGAGTCTACAAGATCTCAGCAGAGCTGTGGAATCCTGGAGATATCTGATCCAAAGAGTCATCATGAACCGAGGTCAACATAAAGGCAGTTAACAACAACTCAGTGTCACCTACTGATTGAATGTGGTACTGCAAGCTTCAAATAGGTTTTAATTAATAAAAATTAGTCATTTTCAAAAACAAAAAAATATCCACAGATGCACACTCTCAAGGTACTATTGGTCATGCCATGCCTGGATGAATACTCGGAGGACAAGGAGGATGAGTCAGAATTTCCTCCGGCTCCCAAGTCTGCAGTGGAGGAGCCCCAGCTCGGCCCTAGCAGCTCTGCTTTGCCAGCAGAGCCTGGGGCTTCTGAAGAGGCTCCACAGCCAAGCCTTCTGATGACAGAGCCATCAGACATGGAGAAGGTTCAGGGGACTGTGCCTACCTTCAATCAGTGTAGAGCTGAAAGGGCGGGCCTCCGGCGCTCGAGCAGGCTTTATGAAAAACGCCAAGATCATCAAGGTGATCAGCCCCAGCTAAGCTCTGGCAGCTCGGGATTTAAGCAAGTGGGAAAACGTTGCCTTGATGCCAGAGGATATCTGGGCTACCTGGTGAAAGCCTCTGTCCCTGACTCTCCTTGTTCCTCGCCTTGAACCCTTGACTCTTGACTATCTTGAACTCCTGGTATCCTCGACCTTCCGACTGCTGACTACTCTCAGACTTCTGCATCCTTGGACCTCAGACTGCTTTCTCTGTCAGCTTCTCTGAAACCCTCAATTTATGGACTGTGTTTGACTCTTTGCTAGCTGCCCCTTTTGGAGTGGTAATTAGAACTTTGTTTGGGACTTCCCCTTACCTTGGCTATCAGGCCAACCGTCAGCTTTCCAGGACACTCTTACTATGCACTTCAAGTTTCCAGTGGCTAGATTTCATGGACTTGGAGATAAGGTGGAGACAGACAAATGTTGTCTGTTGTACATGTTGTCTGTTGTGCATGTTACTGTACATATGTATGCCACATATATTAGGAAACTTACCTGTTGCTGCCCAAGTTGAAGTTGAGGGTACTGCATATGTTTTCAATGGGGAAAAAGTCTGACTGGTAGCACATACAACACCTAAAATTGATGTCACATCAAGCTTAATGCAAAATAGACCAAAACCAGCCGTTCTTCTCACATAAAAAAGTTTACTGATGGATGCACAAAATATTCAAGGTGTAAACCTAAGTGTAAATATCACACTGACCATGGGGAGAAGCAGACGGAGGCG